ATACTAGCAATTGAGATATTGTGATTAACACAGTAATCTTGCCAGGCTTGTCTTTTAGAGGCTACGTTAAAACCCCTGACATTGTGGGTAGCAATTGAAAGGTGTAAATCATAAGGTTTAGACTGATTAGGAGTGGTTGAAAGCTGTGTGGATGGTTGTATAGATGATTTAAGAGGAATATGGGGGTTTGCGAAGATAGCACTTTGATAAGGGACAATTTCATGATCGGGAAGAGGGCAGGGTTCTTCTGAAGTGTAAATATGAGCTTTACTATAGTCAGATTTTATAGATATTATTAATTCATTTTGTAGAATATTCTAGAGGCTGTGTTGAATAAGGTGAAGAAGAAATGAATTAATTGTTTGGGGGGAGGGCAAAAGAGGAAGTTTGTAATGATAGAGGAATTTATTAAAGCAGGTTGAAGGGTTACAAGGTATTAAGAATATTGGAAGTGACACCTTCAGTTTGTCTTCTACAAGAGCGCTCACCATATACCCAGCTCTCACGGTTCTGCAAGAAGTAGCAGTGCTCAGATTATGTGTTAGAGAACTGTATTTATCTAGTAAATAGACATTTAAAAATAATAGTATACATATATACATATCTAAACTACTTGTATCACTACAACACTGCAATATTAGTACAGCAAATGAATTTTTTATAGTAAATTATTTTAGAATCTATAGTTGTAAAAAAAAAACAGCTACTTTCCTAACCCTAATATGAAAAAAGGATATTATTAGTATTTTTCTAACCCTAACTATTAAAAGAAGATATTTAAAAAAGTTACAAGTCTGTATATACCATTATAATTTTCATATATCTGCAAATTTGTACTATATACAGTACTGAACACCTTTTTGCAACAAGTTCACACTACATAGCAATGTTAAACTATTGGAACTTCCTAAACTATGTAATAAATAATATTACATTAAGTATTTATTATCTTAGTACATTACCAAAACTGGGTGATACTATTTATCATATAGTTTGGAGACATCTCAAATAGTTTTGATTACATCACTAGTTCTACTTAGCTTTAACTGAAATTACAGATCATAAATTATGTAGTATGAAGGAATACTCTATTCAGATGGAAGGTTGTACTACTATCACAGTTTAGTCATTTGGCACAATATAATATTATGCTATAAGATAATACAAATATAGAAGATGATATGGTAGTGTAAAATACACGTTGAAATCTGTACTATACTGCTCTGGTGTTATATATATACACATATTAAAAATAGGTATTTTACACTCATACCAGACCGATAGGTCACTAATACTGTTATAAAAACTTAGTATTAATGAATATACTTGTGTCATAACTGGTTTAGAAATAATCAATTTGTGATGCCAAATGAAAGAACACTTCACTGCACATGATTAATTTAATTACATTAAATGAAAAACAAGAATTTGATTCTTTTTTTTGGCAATGCTATGTTTAATAATCTACCTAATATAACCTTGAGGATATTATATTATTCATACTATTCATATTTAAGTACTGTACTTAATAAAAGACTTGCTTTTTGATCATTATATTGGTTGTGCTAATTTTTCTAATTGGGATATTTTAAAGTATAATTTCCTAGTTCATGACACAAATGACATCTATATACACCTGATACTTCAATTTCTTTCTTTCTGTTACTAATATTTATATGTTTCTTATTGCTAGCAGCTGCTTTACTATTTTCTTTAGTAAAAGCTTTTAAGTGCTTAGTGGCAGGTAGTGTTCCACATATCTGAACTGAAAACTCAAACCCAGTCTGACCCAGCCTTGCAGGTCAGATCAGAACCATGACTTTTTAGACCCGATCAGGACTAGGTCACGAGAGAGACCCAAACTGACAATACTCGGACCAACCCATAATATACCCATAATGTAGAAGGCATAGCTGATTGGTTGCTTGCTTTATATAAAAATGATTTTTTTTTTATTTTTTTACTAGATTATAATGTTTCATTTGCTTTATAAAAAGGCAAAGTGCCAATTTTTCTTTTTTCTATTACACTGAAACTTTTTGGCCTCCCGACTTTCACAATACGTTCAGATATATAACAATAATCCAATACAATCAATACATTTCCCTAAACTGAGCCTGATAGACTAAACTTTATTTATTTTTTTTTTTATTGACCTAATTTTCTTAAGAATATTAAGTTTGGTATAGAATTAGCTAGAAAAAAAAAATATTATGTTGAGCTCAAGTATATTTTTATATGATAATGAAACTTGCAATAAACTCTATGATAAACCTTATAATGAACCTTATGATGAACTTTTAGATGAATCCTTTGATAAATCTTATAATAAACCTCATGATGAATATTGCGATAAGCTTTATAATGACAATGCCACTCAGGAGCTAACAAATATGACCTGTTCAGATGAATTTGTGAATAATGAATCATTATTTTCAACTGAAACTTTCTTAACTAATAGGAAATTTCTTTAAAAGCTAGTACTGTATTAACTTTATATTATATAGCAATACTAATGTATTAATTTATAGATCATTTGTATAGAACTATTTTTAAAAAAAAAAAAATTAAAAACTATATAAAACTCTCTCCATTTATCACTCGTACACAAATTCTTTACTAAACTAATTATTTAAAAAACTGCTTATAACTTTTTT